ACGATATATATCGCACACCCCTAGCTGTTACAGCCTCAAACAAAACGTCAGTGTCACTACTGATGCAGAAATGGCACGCCGCACCTTTAAGACTTCAAAAACAAAATCTAATCTCGTTTAAAACAAGCTGGATAACTGCAGAAGAAACCATCAAAACAACCACAGCCAGAAACTGGATGTAAAGTGTTCCCTTTTTTGTAGAAACATCAAGTTACGTAAAACATGACCAGCTCCATAATTTCAGACGTTTTGAGTTTTTGCACTGAATGAAAAAACGAGTTCATACCAAATAAATGTAAATCAAATAGTAGGGATGTAATGATTCAGTCAACTCACGATGCGATGCGTTTTCCTCACGATTTTTTAAAATAATTAGATTTAGGACAAATTATAAATGGTGTCCTTTTATTATTTCTCATAAAAAAAATACTGCACTTTTCTTTGTGAAATTTAAATAAAACTAAATTGAAATTTTAAAACGAGTCCCAAATCAAATAATACAAACGAAAGAAATCTCTTCATATAAACAACTAAGTGCTCTTTCCATTTAAAATTAGTCAAACACTTAATTTTAATCTCAACAAAGATGCTGCATACATCGAAATCTGAAGCAGAACAGAATAGTCTGACTTTAGATTTGTGAAACTATACTACTTTAAACATATCTGAATGAAACCGAAACAGCAGAGGGGCTGAATGAGATGCAAATTCCCTCTCTGCCAGCAGGTGGCGCTTATGGAACAGCAGCGATACGCTTATAAATGCTACTTTAAGTAAGGAATAATTGACGACGGGCAAAAAAAGTAAACAGTTGAGATTGAGATTTCTGTAACATTACACACTATACCATTCAAAAGCTTGGAGTCAGCATAATTTTTTTTATTTTTTGGGGAAAGAAAGTATAGAAATGAATACTTTTATTTAGCAAGGATGCTTTAAATTGATCAAAAGTGATGATAAAGAAATGCATAATGTTACAAAATATTTCCATTTCAAAAAATGCTGTTTTACTGAACTTTCTATTCATCGAAGAAACCTGAAAAATTCTACTCAGCTGTTTTCAACATGATAATAATAATAAATGTTTTTGAGCAGCAAATCAGACTATTAGAATGATTTCTGAAGGATCATGTGACTGGAGTAATGATGCTAAAAATCCAGCTTTGAAATCACAGGAATAAATTACATTTTAAAATACATTCAAATAGAAAACAGTTATTTTAAATAGTAAAAAATATTTTTACTGTACTTTGGATCAAATAAATGCAGGCATGGTGAGCAGAAAAGACGTCTTTCAAAAACATTAAAAACCTTACTGTTCAAAAGCTTTGGACTGGTAGTGTAACTAAAAATGTTTTAGGAAAATTATTAGGGAGAGCAAATGCAAACGAGTATGTAATCATGCTCTCCACAGTCTACAGCACAAACATGCATGCTGTTCTTTTAAATGTGCATCTCATCACACATTAGAGCAGGTGCATGCGTCTCAAATGCAAGCCGGCGTTTATATATATGACCCTGCAGCACAGTTATTCTAATCTCACATACTATTTAGGATAGATAGGATGAACATTGAGATGCAGGGAGTGAGTACGGGAGAACAGCTGCAATCCAATCAGTCAAATCAGCGAATGAATCGCTCAGTGTGATTTGCGAACCAATTTAACAGGTTCATTAAAAAGAATCCGCTCGTTCAAGAATCGAACACTCTGTTGATGTACAGATCCTTGAATAATGTACATAAGTATAGTAACGAAGTTACAAAAATACTTTGTTACTGTCCCGCACATCCTTTGTAGTAGTAATATATTACGTGTTATGTTGTAAAGCTTAATAATTTAAACAACACAAAAAATTCATTAAATATCTTACTTCAGGAGATTTTCAACAAGTTGGAGGTTATCCCAACTTTAAGAGGTTATTCACGATATTTTCAGGAATGAGTTTGTGTTCTAACAATCTCAAGAAAAATAACTAAAGCATTTTTAAGAAATTAAGAGTTCATTTGCAAAAACAGATAACTTAAGATACTCATATTCTCTGAAATCATGATTTTGACTAGATTAAAAAAAATGACTTTAAAAAAAAAACAGCCAACTAACACAACAAAACACAATAAAAACATAACATAATAAAAAACATGATTTTTAAAATAAACAAATAAACCTCTTCAAATGTTTTTAAGACTACAAATTATTCCTAACTTTACTCTTAAATTAGAAAATAAGAAGAAAATAGCAGTTATGAAGAATTTTATTCTTACGAATGTTTCGTGAATCCGGCCCTTGGTGTTTCACTGCATTCATGCACACAATGGACACGTCTGCGATTCATTACAGAGCTCAGACCCCAATACAATCTGGATTGCTTTTGGATTAAATACCTGATGCACACAAACGTTGCACTTGTCGCAGAAGACCATCTCGTTGCCGTCCTCCCCCTCAGGTGAGCGGCACACGTCACAAACCACGTCCTCGTCGTATTCGATGCCCAGACCCTCCTCGGTCGCGATGGCCTGCTGCATGTTCTGCTGACACCTGTTCTCCAGCTCCACCACGACCTGCTCCATGGTGAGCTCGTCCAGCTCTGGAAGTGCTGAGACACACAAAGGAAACGGCCTTGTATTCGTATAGTAGGGCCCTATGATTTCCGTGATGTGGAAAACATGGAGGGAATCACGAAATCCAGTCATAAAAATGGCATTTACTGTATAATGCAGAATGGCATGGAATTTGTCAAATTTTGAATGAGTAAATCAAAAGTAGGTCAGCACATATATGGTACGATATGGACTAGTGCCTTTGAATATTAAAATGCAAAACGGCAACTCGTCAAAATAAGAGTTCGGTTTAACTTGAAGAAATTGTGACAGAAATATATTAATACTGTACAGTAGAATGTACGTCTTGCTACTACTGCTACTACTAATTAAATGATTATTAAAACTTTTGTTTTTAATAAATAAATCACACAAATGTTATTACGTTTAAAAAAAATTGCAGTAAAGCTCTGTTATGCAGCACTTTATTTGCCCCCAAAAAATGAAGGGGCTTGTTTAATTTAACTTTGCTTAATATTTTATGCCATCATTTGATTATCAGAAAAATTTTAACAACACAATTTCTGGGGGGGGGGGGGGAAAATAATATGGAAAACATCACATTTTGTAAAATAAATAAATACATACATACATACATACAACTGAATTTGAGAAGAAAAAAAAAAGTATTTAATTGGGCTGTAAAGAAAATTTATTTTTGTTAAACTATTAATAAATTACTGTTAACTTTTAATGATTTCAATTAGACATGCTTTTGATTAATACGATTTAATTTAACCATTAAAACAGAGTCCAGAAAAATTTAAATGTGAAACAAAAAAAATGGAAAAAAGAATTAAACCCTAAAAAATAATTATGAAAATAAATAAGATTTCATAGGGCCCTACTTGATGAACGAGAGAAGAGGGATGAAAGTGTGACATATCATAACTTCTGCTCAAACGTTATAGAAGTTACATTTACATCTGGGCTCGGCGCTTAATTATTTCTAGGGGGAAAAAAACTCAGAATTGCGAGACGTAAACTCACAATTGCGAGAAAAGTAGTCAGAATTGTGAGAAAAAAGTTGCAATTGTATTTTTTATTTTTATTCCATATGTTTAAAACTAAACTAAAAACAGAAAATACAAAAATTAAAACTAATTTTAAATATTAATAAAAACTATAATAGTATCTCAATGATAGAAAAATAACACCAATAGCTCAACAAAACATTACTAATTTCACTAAATAAAAAAAACAACAACTTCAACTCTATTATTGGCCTGTTTGCTATAAGCTTAAATCATCAAAGAAACATGAGTCAGATAGCTGATCTTACCTAGTTGTCTGAATTCAGCATTAACCAGTTCCAGCCAGGTCACATCCAGATCATCCAGATTGTAACAACTCAACGGCTCAGTGAGACCATGTGACTCTCCGAAGCCAAACTCTGACTGGCCCCTGGTTTGGATCGCTGAAAAGAACGGGATTCGATTGACCTCCGGAAGCATCCTGGGGAAAACAAATTGCACACTTGAATGACCACAAAACTCATTTTTCATGCATCAAGTATTCAAAGGAATGTTTCAGCTTCAAGTAAAGCTCAATGGACAGGACTGGTCTCAATGTTGATAGCCAGAGGAAATCATTGCAACTTGTCCTTTGTGCAGTGACTTATGATCTATGTCGATGCACGCTGAAATCAGTCATGTTTTCTGATCAGATGGTTCTTTCCTCAATTCATGTAACCGGTTGAAGATGAAACTCTTGTTATAGTGAAACCGATATTAAAATATTGAAACCGATATTGAAACCGATATGACCGATATTACAGCACAAATGCAACGTGGCCCACTGTGGTTTCAAAGAACGTTTCAGACTTTGTTGATACCTGCATTTAGTGCTGTTCATTTGAGATCGGATCACCAGAGACGGATCTGAATACCAGATGTAAATGATGCACTGCCATACTTTCATCAGTAATTCTGAATTAATTTATATCGTGCAGTGCATATTCAAAGCAAAGGCATGTGAGCATTTCACTAATAATTAGAGATGAACATAAATACAGTCAGTTCCTAACTAAATCATGTAACAAAATTAAATACTTAAAGCATTACAGCAGGTATTACTTTGGAAAATGAAATTGGGATTGAGAATCAAATGTCAATAGTATTGATAGCGGCTTCTGGGATATTGGTATTGAGATGACACTAACCCCTAGTATGAGCTGATGAAGGAAAACAAAACCTAAAAACGGGAATGAATGAACGAAGCTATTAATTCTGAACACCAAGCTGGTTCATCAAGCACAACCCATGAATGACAGAGACAGCAGATGGATGTTGAAATGTGAAATACTCAGAGATCCTGATGTGATTTCCATGTCTTTATTACTTTTGTAAAATTAGTTTAATAATAGTAATACATCAATATGGGTCATGCACTGAGAAATTAAATTTTCCCTCAACTTTTGACATATAAGAGACCACTGTAAAAACTAGAGATGCGCGATATTGGATTTTTGATAACCAAATATCCGAAATAATGCTATTTTTCAACTCATTTGTGCTGATATGGACATATTTTCTTTTGTTTGGAAACAACACCAAGTCTCTCCTGTGCAGAGATTATAAACAAATTATTTTTATTTTGGTTAGTTTCGAGCAAAAACTTACCCGTTAGAACTAAATAAACAACAATCAAGTTTGTTTTATAATGAAAGTACATTGAAAGCTGTGCAACATACTCCCATTCTCATAATGTCACTGAAGTGCACTTCATTTTTTTGCATAAGCTTTTCTTGAGCCTCTATTCTTGTACGGGTAAGAGTTGCTCACTTCACAGAGACATATGTGACCCTGGACCACAAAACCAGTCATAAGGGTCAGTTTTTTTAAATTTCCATTGATGTATGGTTTGTTAGGATAGGACAATATTTAGCTGAGATGCAACTATTTGAAAATCTGGAATCTGAGGGTGCAAAAAAATCTAAATATTGAGAAAATCATCTTTAAAGTTGTCCAAATGAAGTTCTTAGCAATGCATATTACTAATCAAACATTACGTTTTGATATATTTACGGTAGGAAATTTACAAAATATCTTCATGGAACATGATCTTTACTTAATATACTAATGATTTTTGGCATAAAAGAGAAATGTATAATTGTGACCCATACAATGTATTGTTGGCTATTGCTACAAATATCCCCCAGCGACTTAACACTGCTTTTGTGCTGCAGGGTCACATATTATGGTGCAACACTGTTTGCAAATTCATTCTGAAATTTGAAAAAGGCATTTTTTTTCTCACTGCATTTCTACTTGGGAAACACATCAGTCTAGAGCATGCCTGTCATTTACTGTGACTCTCACCTGACTACAGGCTCGGGAATGGCTTCCACACTGGCTGGCACCTGAACACCCTTCTCCCATTCCTGCCTCCAGGGGTCGGATAGGAAATAAAACTCCTCTGCGCTCAGTTGTGCTGAATCAGGCAACTTCATGGCTGTAATAAAATCGGTCCGAAACACCTGAAAGAACAGAACATTGGCAACATTCAACAAGAAACAATCCCTTCTCGCTCTGGTGACATTTTCACTGGCGCCGAGGCAAGAATTAAATACTTTGCCATGTTTTCGAAAGCAATTTTTGTGCCAGAAAGCAAAATATATGAAATACGAAACACTCAAATATGAATGAACACATAATATGAAATATTAAGATGTCATCACAGAAGACAATCATACAAACAACTGCTTTTAAAAGTTAAATTGTAAAACATTAACATTTTTGAGTGGGTGACTTGCCAAGAAAAACACCGTAGGGTGTTACGTGAGTTTATCCAGTGGTGTGCGAAAAGTCAGTGCTGTAAGCACAGTGCAAATGTGGTTTTAAATCAGACACATATTTAATATGTAAACATCTGCAGTGTTGGGGGTAATGCATTACAAGTAACGTAATCAGATTACTATTTTTCAAGTAACTAGTAAAGTAACGCATTACTTTTTAACTTACAAGAAAATATCTAAGATACTTTTTCAAATAAGTAAGTGGCATGTATTGCCTGACCGCTCTCCTGTCCTCATGTTGAGAGAAATCAGGAGTAAGTGCAGAGGCGCTGTGTGAACATGATCTTACTGTAGTTCTAGACTAGATGTGAACATGCATTTACTCATCTCACTGCACAAAAACAGATTCAGTATTCCTCAAAATGAATTAAAAAAAAAAGAAATGCAAAAATTATGTGTTTAATCCCATTTTATTAACCAATGTCTTTGCTGATGATCCAATGCAACCATACTAATAAGCAAAATTGGCTTCAGATAAACATAACATTTGGGTTTCTTTCTTTTTTATTACTGAAGAGTGTTCTTGCGTCCTAGTCTTCATGCAATACAGAATGGCATGAGCTGCGTCCTCTACTGCGAATTTTCATTTTCTTCAGCCTGACATGTTCTCATTTCACTTTTGTTGTGAAAGGGCTTTTACATTTGCCAGAAATATAATTTTTTTATATTAAAAACAAATAAGCAAGCCCAGCCCAGACAAGAAAATGTAACGCAAAAGTAACGTAACTTTACTTTCCATAAAAAGTAACTAAGTAACACAACTAGTTACTTTTTTTAGGGAGTAAAGCAATATTGTAACGCATTAGGCCTACTTTTAAAAAATAAATTTCCCCAACACTGGACATCTGACCTTCAGCTAAACGCATATCTGATTCCCATTGGAAACAAACCCAAGCCATCACAAGACGAAGGAGACACAATTATCAACAAAGCTAACTTTTCTTAATGTCGTGTTATGAAGCAGACTCAGAGCTTCAATCTATATAGAAACGCCACACAGATCCACATGCACCGTCTCTTTCTCAAATTCGTTCAAAACAATCGCGTCTTAAATGAATGTAAATAGGCGGGACCAAAAATTGGATATGAAAATATCAAGTTACAAAAATTACAACTACTACAAGTATTATCAACTGACTGTATAATCACATAAATCATACAATATTGCAGCAATTCTTAATGGCTTAATAGTTTATATCATCATCAAATGTAAACTATCCTATCACCCAGCTCTAAACTGCTAAATGATAAATAAATTAATTAATAAATTGACTCTGTCTCATCCGCTAGGGTTGTGCACAATTAGTATATAACTAATTGTTGCTTAATGATGTGTGAGCTGACATTATCAAGTATGCATGAGTACATGCAAAAAACTAACAAAAACACGTCATTAGAATGCAGCTTGAATGGCCCTATATTTCAAGTTACGAAAGAAAAAAATATCCCTGTATGGATTTTGTTTTTTATATTAATGATATAGTAAGATATAGCAATAGCACACAAGCAAGAATGCTGTTTTCCCGAATATCAGCATGTGAGCGCAATCGCGAATGTTGTACTGATTTCATACAGCAGTTCACCAAACGAGAAGTTAATGTTGAGTGAGTTACATTTTAGACACAATATTGTCTGTTTCGCCAGTGAAAATAGTTCCAAACAAAGCCGGATTAAAACATTTGTGCATCTCAGCGCAACACTACAGTGTTACATTCCTGAATGAATTTGTTTTTGAATGAATCATTTGAGTCAGTGATTCAATGATCATAAAGAGTCACTTGCTTCGTTTCAGTGAATGAATATTTTGAATGAGTGATTCAAGAAATTACTCATTAAGACAAGGACTTGCCGCCACCTACTGGTGGTTTTAGTGTGATATTTATTTATCCATGAAATGCCTAAATCAGTCAAAATGCCAGCACAAAAACCCACTCTGCAAAATATTGTTTAATTATCATTATCTTAAATTAAAAAATATTGAGATATCATTTGTTCCTGAATATCGCACACCCCTACCATCCACCCAGTTCAATAATGCATTGTTCATTTTTTATTTCTTACTAAAAATGCTGACTTTAAGTTCTGGTGTATATTTGTGTTTATTGATGAAGCGGTATTTCTCACCTCAGACGGTTTCTTCTGCTCATGGCGTACCCATGTGCTGCTGGTCCCCGTGTTCTTAGAAGACCGTGACCAGGTGGTCACATGACCTGCAAGAGATTCAATACCAAATGAGAATTCTGCCTTCGTTTACTCGTCCTCATGTTCTTCCAAACCTCTATGACTTTTTTTATGGGTTTGAAATGGAAGCAAATGATGTGAGCACAATTTGTGGGTGAACAAATTACAAATATAAACAATACACTTAGACAATCCTAGATAAACACCTGAAGGTATCATTTCCACTTAAGGGCAAAGTTGAAAAATTTTATGAAAAAAAATAAATGAGAATTCTGCCTTCGTTTACTCGTCCTCATGTTCTTCCAAACCTCTATGACTTTTTTATGGGTTTGAAATGGAAGCAAATGATGTGAGCACAATTTGTGGGTGAACAAAATACAAATATAAACAATACACTTAGACAATCCTAGATAAACACCTGAAGGTATCATTTCCACTTAAGGGCAAAGTTGAAAAATTTTATGAAAAAAAAAAATAATAATAATTCAGGTCATTAAAATGTATTTTGAAAGATGATTTCATTCTCTTGTGTAATGCGTGTTATTTAGCACATAATTGTAAGTTGTTGATTAATTGTTGCATTAACCCTAATTAATCTCCAAGGCCTCTAAATGATCAAAACTTTGCTGATAAACCTGTTGCACACAATCTACTACATGCCTTCTGTTGTCTGATTGATTAGTTTAATGCCTTTTAGCACAATCCACCTGCTTCATGTGGGGGTTTTTTTGCTATGAAATCTTTAGAGTTTTATAAAGTAAGAATATCTCCGTTAGCAATTTGAACACTGAAGATGAACACTTACTGAAGCAGCTTGGCTTTACTTGATTATCCAGACATCATTTTTTTTAGAAAAATCCGTGAGTTTCAAACACGATCATCAGGATTTTGACAAACGTTTATCTGTTCATCTCCCAATCATCATATTGCACTGCTTTGCATGTTTTGAACTTTTAAGCATTAAATATCCTCTTGCCAAGACATATTGGCAGATACATAGCGACAGCTGATATTTATGTACAGTTAGTAGTCTGCTATGGTGTTATAGAGATCTCAATTCATCTTACATTTTGTCCAAATATCATAATCTGCACTAAATTGCATAGCTTTTCTCAATTGGGGTCTCTGCAATTCTCACTATTTACTACTTTGTTATATTTGATCTTTATCTGTAAAGATGTTACGCAGTGGTGAGAAGCCGTGCGTCTGAGTTTATCACTCACTGTCGGTGGTGTCAGAGTCGTTGCTGCTGGTGGAGTATTTCCTCCTCTTCATCTCACTCTCCATCTGTCAGCAAAGAAGCGATGAACAACTATCAGACTCTGAAAAGATGGCAGAAACGCATGCTGAACGCTCAGTGAGAAAGTGTGATGGTAGAAATGAATGAATCTAGAGTTTACAAGCGACTGAAAACCCCGTTCGCCGATGCTGCCTTCACTCCACATAGGGGCGATTTGGGGAAATAATCTAACTGCTATATTCCTGATATAATATTTGTACTTTGCCATTATGGGGTATGGATTGTAGATGTGCAAAAAAACGTAATTTAAAGCAGTTTAGCATACAACATACATAAAATGTGACAAAATGACCCTTCATTTTGGGGGTCTGAATACTTCTGGAAGGCACAGTAAACGAACATATTCCGTGTTTCTGATTCTGGTTCATAAATCAAAGCATCATCTCTCTGGGTGAGAACACTCATCCGCTTGTCGTCCAGGTCTGTCAGATGGACTCTGCTGCTAAACACTGACAGCTATTAAACATCAGGACCACATGCATCCCTCACAGACACTGAACTGCAGCACTAAGAAGCATGTCATGCACTGGCACACTGACTATGTTACGGGTGATGGGAACATCAGAGCCAGAGCTCCCACATTCATGAATATCCCCCTCATACCAGAAACACACACTGTGACCATGTGACCGCCTCGCCGCCTCCTCCACCAATCACACGGCAGATGGCAAACACACTTTATATGGATGTAGCTGCTCCGCGAGATTCTATATTGTTAACTTGAGCACATTCAAATTTACATGGCAAAGAACCCAACGTATTTAGTGCCAAACACAAATGTTTTCTGTGTGTCATGATAGTCTAGTGGTGTAAAATTATACTGTATATGCTTCAAATTCAGACTTGAATATAAAACATGCATTTTTACTACGGACTTCGCTAAGCTGCCCTGCATTTTATGCATGCATGTTGCTGCTGGTGGAGTATTTCCTCCTCTTCATCTCACTCTCCATCTGTCAGCAAAGAAGCGATGAACAACTATCAGACTCTGAAAAGATGGCAGAAACGCATGCTGAACGCTCAGTGAGAAAGTGTGATGGTAGAAATGAATGAATCTAGAGTTTACAAGCGACTGAAAACCCCGTTCGCCGATGCTGCCTTCACTCCACATAGGGGCGATTTGGGGAAATAATCTAACTGCTATATTCCTGATATAATATTTGTACTTTGCCATTATGGGGTATGGATTGTAGATGTGCAAAAAAACGTAATTTAAAGCAGTTTAGCATACAACATACATAAAATGTGACAAAATGACCCTTCATTTTGGGGGTCTGAATACTTCTGGAAGGCACAGTAAACGAACATATTCCGTGTTTCTGATTCTGGTTCATAAATCAAAGCATCATCTCTCTGGGTGAGAACACTCATCCGCTTGTCGTCCAGGTCTGTCAGATGGACTCTGCTGCTAAACACTGACAGCTATTAAACATCAGGACCACATGCATCCCTCACAGACACTGAACTGCAGCACTAAGAAGCATGTCATGCACTGGCACACTGACTATGTTACGGGTGATGGGAACATCAGAGCCAGAGCTCCCACATTCATGAATATCCCCCTCATACCAGAAACACACACTGTGACCATGTGACCGCCTCGCCGCCTCCTCCACCAATCACACGGCAGATGGCAAACACACTTTATATGGATGTAGCTGCTCCGCGAGATTCTATATTGTTAACTTGAGCACATTCAAATTTACATGGCAAAGAACCCAACGTATTTAGTGCCAAACACAAATGTTTTCTGTGCGTCATGATAGTCTAGTGGTGTAAAATTATACTGTATATGCTTCAAATTCAGACTTGAATATAAAACATGCATTTTTACTACGGACTTCGCTAAGCTGCCCTGCATTTTATGCATGCATATATATATATATATATGCATTTTTATATTCTTTTATTTAACAGCAGAACTGTCTTTGTTTCAAGGGGGGGGGGGAAATCCAACCCTTTTACATTTATACACCGTGCCTTGTGAAAGCATTCGTACCCCTTCATTTTTTTCACATTTTGCTTTTGTTTTGCACATGCACACCAGTAATGTTTTTTTCTAAGGCATGTTTATAAAAATGACTTGAATGTCCTAATTGCCAAATAAAGAGAAACGATAATCAATATTAATACTAATTAGGCCTGGGCGATAAAACGGTATCGATATTTATCGACGGTACACCTTCTTCGATAACGATAGAAAAAATGTTCGATATGGCACATGATATAGGCACGTGCTATGAGACAGCACACACAAACACGCACATGAGTGCTGTGCCTGCCTGTGATGAGGAGATTGTGAATAAAGAACGAATATTAGTCGAATTTGAAATAAACATCTGCATTTGAATGTTAGGTGTGCATCATCAATTGCGCGCGAGATGCGGTGATGATGTAAGTGACGTTGTTGCATTTTAATGTTTTG